CTAATATTGAGTTCGAGGACAGCATGTTCTACAGAGCAAGTTCCAGGATACCCAGGGATTACACGCTTGTCTGGAGGGAAAAAAATGATTTGCTTATACATTCCAGGTCAGAATGATGTTGATTTAGGTTCAGCTAGCCAGTAAATCTTCCTGCTGGGAACCAGGACTCTCTGGGGCCTAGGTATACATGATAGCCAAAAACTCAACCCCTTCAACTTAGAGGGTAGCCATGCCTCAGCCAGTTGGGTGCCAGTTGGTGTCAAGACAGAGAGCACAAAGCAGTGGGGAGCTGTCAATTGCCCTTAGTGGTTGGGTAGGCAGCATGCCAAGGCTAGCCTCAGCTGAGCCCCAGAGCTGCCAAGGGTATCCCCAGAGGAAGAAAAGAACCGCAGACTCAGCCAGAGACAGCTATACACCACAGCTGACACGGGGGAAGGTGGGGAGGAGACATGCAGGCGCTCTTGGCCTAAGTGCCTGCTCACTTGTGACCAGCAGCTTTCTCCTCCAACTGCGTCTTTCCAAGGCAGCCATGTCTGGACAGTAAGTAAGTATTGCCCAGCAGTGTACCTTAGGCCCAGCTCCTTCCTTGTCGCTCAGTAATCCACACTTGTTTAGCCTGTTCAGAGACACTCAGTGGGGCAGCCTTCTACACACTGCCTCCTAGGTGGGGCTGATGCTGTGTTCTCTCACTACCAGTGAAAGGCAAACTCTGGAGCCTGTCTGCATAACTCTCGGAGATCAGCACACACTCTGGGCCCTGGACATTCACGGGAAGCTGTGGTTCAGAACTGGTGTGATTCCCAAGAAGCCCCAAGGAGATGATGATCACTGGTGGCAGGTAACTGACGGGACTTTCTCTGACTTACAGACCCACACTTTCTGCCTTACCTCTTTTCCTTAAGAGACTGGATTAAATTAGTAGTGCTTACTTTTACCATTTAGTAGATGTGACTTTCCTGTGGTTGGGTATATTAAAAAATACACAAAAAAACTTTCCCTCGTAGGAAATGACTTGTAAAAGCTTTCTTTACTTTAACACAGGCTGGAATTTATATGTTTATTTAAATGTTATTTAGGCATTCACCATTATAGGCTAAATAAATCCAGTGACATCCATTTGAAGACCTGGGTAATAATGATGTTTAATTCTGGACAAACATACTAAGAAAAGAGACCAGACAATAGGTTTGGAAAGCCAACCCACAATTAAAACTCATCTATCTGTACTTGCCTGAAAGGCCTTTAAGTAAATGATACTTCAACAAAGAACTGAGCATTTCCCCACACGGTGAAGAGAGTACTGTGAGGAGTAGGGGGTGGTCCCAGCCCAACCTTTGGTGGATTTTGAAAGGAGCATCCACTTTCCTGTCTTGCCACCATCCAGAGCTAAGCTTTTAGCTGTCCCATACACACATTGTGCCCAAGGTGCTTCTGACAGATGTGCAGTGTGAGTCCTCACCTCTGTGTCTCCGTGGTCTGCCTAGCGAGGCTTGTCTTGAGCGTGCTGTTCTCCTTAGTCTTCCCCATGAAAGTGAACATGTATATCATACACACACACATACATGTATATAAAATTCTATATTCTAATATTTGAGGTTTATATGATTCAGAAATAACTATCATGTATGAACATGCACATGTAAACAACACATAAGCATATATACATATCTGTATGTGTTAAATTCTGGTGGAATTTTTTGTGTGTGTACAATAAGCATGCATGTATATATGTGTATATGAGGGCAGGGGTGTGTGTGTGTCTATTCTTATAGCAGCCAGAGTTGATGCTGGAATCCTACTTGATTGCTTTCCACTTATCTGCTGAGGAAGAGTCTCTGGCTGAGCCTGAAGCTCACAGACCTTAGCTAGCCAGCGTGAACCAAGTTCCAAGCACTGAGTTTACAAGCAACCCACTCTGCCTTCTAATCCTTATATAGGTGCTGGGGTCCAGACTCCAGTCCTCACCCTGTGTGCTCGGCTCTTCATCCACTGAGCCCTTATTTTGTTGGTTTTGCCTGTTGGGGTGCTGGGTGCTGCATCCTCCAGTCATGAAAGTCAACACAAAGAAAGCTGTCATTTTTTTCATAATACACACAACTTTAACAGACAGAGGCACCCAGGCGGTGGTGGCGCACGCCTTTAATCCCAGCACTTGGGAGGCAGAGGCAGGTGGATTTCTGAGTTCGAGGCCAGCCTGGTCTACAGAGTGAGTTCCAGGACAGCCAGGGCTACACAGAGAAACCCTGTCTCGAAAAAACAAAAACAAAAAAGCAAAACAAACCAAAACAAAACAAAAAAAAAAAACAAAAAAAAAAACAGACAGAGGCACAGAAGCAGAGTGAAATAGTTCTATGCTTGCCTCCTCCTCCTCTTCTTCCTCCTCTTCCTCTTCTTCTTCCTTCTCCTCCTCCTTCTTCTAATGTTTATTGATGTTTTGCCTTCATGTGTGTCCGTGAGGCTGTCAGAAGCCCTGGAACTGGAGTTACAGACAGATGTGAGCCACCATGTGGGTGCTGGGAATTGAACTCAGGACCAGTCAGTGCTCTTAACTGCTGAGCCATCTCTCCAGCTCAATTCTTTGCTTTCTTTATGGCTCCAGAAGCAATTATATTTGGCTACTAGGTCTTTCCTTTCTCTTTCAGTGGGAGACCTGCTTCCATGTCTGTCACTCTTGGGTATCACAGACTTAGTGTGTGGCTTTGGCGTAGTGACTGCTAGGTCTCCAGTGAGCAGCACTGATCCTGAGTTGCACAGGACCCAGGAGTCCCACAGGAAGGCTGGATGCTGACTGTGGCCGCAGCTCTGTAGTGAGTGGGGCTGTGCTCCTTCACAGGCAGAAGGGCAGCATTTATGTGTGATATACTAACTTGCAATCATTTCTTTCATGTTTGTTTTGTTTTTATAAATTTAAGTTCCCTGTAATACTTTCACTTATTATTTCATTGTGTGACCTGGGAATGGATCCTAGGAATAGGGCGTTTGTGCTAGTATCTATAATAAATCTAATACTGATCCAATACTGGGCAAAAATACTAGAGAGGATGGTGAGATGCTCAGCATGTTAGAGAGATTGCTTAGCATGTTAGAGAGCCTGCTGAGCCTGGCGACCTGAGTCTGAGCCCTCGATCCAGCGTGATAGAGGAGGGGGTGGCTCCCAAAAGTTGTCCCCTGCATGTGTGCTGGAGCTTGCATGCCTGTACACACATATAATATATAAATAGAGATAAATGGAATGTAATTTTAAATACTGCAGAGAGTTCTGCTGAGCCAGGCTTCCACCTACTTTTCTTTGGCACAGAGCTAGAGAGATGGCTCAGAGGTTAAAAACACTGGCTGCTCTTGCAGAGCACCCGGTTCAGTTCTCAACTGGCAGCTCTCAAACTTCTGTAACTCCAGTTCTAGGTGTTCTGATACCCTCTTCTAGCCTCTGTAAGCCCCTGTTGTACATACATACATACATACATACATGCAGGCAAAACACACAAAAGTGTAAATATTAACAAATATTTTTAAAAAGAACTCTATCAGAATTGGCTGCTCAGCAATCAAGAAGCTTCCCTCTGGGAGATAGTTGTCCCAAGGTGTCTAGCAGTGTCTGTACAGAAGCTCTTCAGGAGTGCTGTTGAGGTGAGCTGCACATCAGATGGCTTCTAGAATCTTGGGTCTTCTTGCTTAGGCTGATATCTGATATAAGTTGCAATAGTCATGCTTATAGCTTAAGTAATTGCTTCACACACCTGGTAGAGTGTTTTTAATGTTCATATTATGATTCTAAGTATTAACCATTATTGTCATTGGAAACACCTGAATTTAAAACTAAATTTATTCTTTATCATTCTAACTAGAGTAACAGTTTTCTTAGGTGACGTGGGTGCTGTGTAATCACAAAAATGATAATACTTAAAACAGAGCCAAGTGATGTAAAAGTAAAATAAGGTGAGAACATTCTCTTCCTTGCCCATGAGCCCGCCCGAGGACAGTACAGCTGCTTCTTAGCTCGTCCTGTGCAGAGGTGTGTATGGGCTCAGGCACTTGGTGGTCTTGCTGCCGGGTACTTTATGTGGGTATTGCCTTTGGAGGCAGATGGGCTTCAGGGCCTGCACCGACAGCAAGGCTCATCGGGCTCCCTTCCTGCAGGTGAGCATCACGGACTATGTGGTGTTTGACCAGTGCAGCCTGTTCCAGACCATCATGCATGCCACACATTCAGTAGCAACAGCAGCCCAAGCCCCCGTGGAAAAGGTGGCAGATAAACTGCGCATGGCGTTTTGGTCTCAGCAGCTGCAGTGCCAGCCTAGCCTACTAGGGGTTAACAAGACCGGTGTGTGGATCTCCTCAGGGAAGAATGAATTCCACGTTGCTAAAGGAAGTCTCATAGGTGAGTCGATTACTCTAGCTTCCACGTTACTCTTACTTTGTTTATCTTATTTTTCGTGGTAGTGGGAATCTAACCTAGGGACTCACAGAACATTTAATGAGTGGCTGGAAGGTTTCCTCTTGAGATGATACAGTGCCAGTGGGAAAGCGCCCTGTGACAGGGGCACCCAGGCTTCCTGGTCTCTTTCCTTCCTGTTTTCTTTTTCATTCTGTCATTCCTAAATCATGGCATCTAGACAGTGTGGCATCACTTTCCTATGGAAACCTAGTATGCTATAATAAAGACATCTGGGAGACTAGCTCAATTTCACAGTCCACTCAGGGCTGGGCAGGGAATTGGCTCTGCAGATAAAAGGATATGCCACACCAACCTGCAGGTTTCTGTTCACTCTCTAGAAGTCATGTGAGAATCCAGATACAGCCAGGCATGGTGGCACATGCCTTTAATTCCAGCATATGGGAGGCAAAGGTAGGCAGGCAGAGCTGAGTTCAAGGACAGCCAGGGCTATGTAGAGAAATCCTGTCTCAAAACAAACAACAAAAAGCCAGATACAGTGGAGGCTCAGGAGAGCATGCCTCTGAGGACATGGGGAGGCAGTGACAGAAGTGGGCAGATGGTCACATACACAGCCCACTGGCAGAACTGGGGACCTTGCCCCTAAAACAAGAGGAAAATTCTAGGACAGCCAGGACTATACAGAGAAACCCTGTCTCGAAACCATCCCCCCCCCCAAAAAAAAAAAAAAAACAAGAGGAAAAGAGAAGACATAACTCCAAAAGTTGTCCTCTAATGTCCACACACATGCCATGACACACTTGTGGACATACACCAAGAATCTGGTTTAAAGCAGTGTATGTGGTTGGGTAGAGATGGCTCAGCAGTTAAGAATCTGAGGGTAGGAGTTCAGATCCCGGTACTCACTCCCGGTACAAGCCAGCCTGTGACTAGCAACAGGGAGAGGCAGGAGAATCTTTGGGGCTTTTTGGCTTCTAATGCTGGAACACGATCCTCAGGATCAGAGAGAGACTTGTCGCCAAGTCCTGTGTGGAAAGTGATAGACGAGAACACTCAGGAGCCTCCTCTGGACTGGAGGAGCATGCTTAGGCACACACTCCCACACAGACACGTGTACAGCGTCTACTGAGAGAGAATAGTCCATTTACAGGGGGAAATTATGGCCACTGTGGGACATGCAACATGCTGGGTGTCTGTAGATGAGCTGGGTGTTCACTTCTGAAGGACTCCCCCTTGATGACTCTCCTCAGCTCTGTCTGCTGGGTAGCCTCTTTTGGCTTAAGTGAACAAGGTATGGCTCTTGTTGATGACGCTTAGAGAAATAAGTAGCTCATGCCACTTTGTGTGAGGACGCTAGAAATCATTGTAAGAGCTTTGAAGGACAGCTGTGGTCTAAAACAAGAACTGAAGGGTTAGAGCTTTTTGCTTGTTGGTTTTTTTCTTTCCTTAACCCACTTTTATACTTATTCTCTCCAGGAACTTACTGGAATAACGTTGTTCCCCGGGGAACAGCTTCTGCCACAAAATGGGCCTTTGTGTTGGCTTCTCCTGCTCCCACCCAGGATGGTGAGTCAGTCTTAGCCCAGCTAAGAAATGTGGTACGCAAGTTTAGTCAGTGGATGGAAAGTTCAGACCTTCATCTGACTGTGGCCTGTGGGTGTGGAGATGTGGCTTACAGATCCTGAGAGGGGATGCGGCAGTGTTGTGAGCCAGCAGTGCTGGATAGGCCCTGCTCAGGAGAGCTACCAAGTGGGGGTAAGGGTGACAAAGCTGAGTCTGAGGCAGTGTCCTTTGGAAGGTCACCATGCAGTGTGGTAGGAGCTGGCAGCAGATGACTTCCTCAGGGTCTTTCCCATTTCTTCCAGAGGACCTGAGTTGGATTCCAAGTACTCATATGGCAGCTTGCAACTATCTGAAATTCCAGTTCCGAGATCCATACAGTACCTTCTGCTTTCCGTGACATGGGGACCACACACACACACAGTGCAGACATACATGCAGAGAAGATATTCACACACATACAATAAAGAAATCTCAAAACAAAAAACCCTCTAAGAAGTGAAAATAGCTGGGTGTGGCGGTGCACACCTTTACTCCTAGCACTGAGGATCTCTGTGAGTTCGAGGCCAGCCTGGTTTACAGAGGGAGTTCCAGGACAGCCAGGGCTGCACAGAGAAACCCAGCCTCAAACAAACCAATTAATTAATTAGTCAATTAAAATAGAAATAAAAGTATTCTAAAATATATGACCACAAGTTTTAGCTAATACTTTAAATTACACAGTGTGGCCGGGTTTTAATTCCCAAGGATGACTGGCATTCTATTTTTTTTTTTTTTTAGTTTTTTGAGACAGGGTTTCTCTGTGTAGTCCTGGAACTCTAGGCTGGCCTTGAACTCAGAAATCCACCTGCCTCTGCCTCCCAAGTGCTGGGATTAAAGGCGTGCGCCACCACTGCCCGGCAGATGACTGGCATTCTAAATAGAAACTGTTAACCCTGAAAGTCTCAGGACATCAGAGGACTGCAAGCAAAACTCTGAGGCCAGGGTCAGAGGTGAAGGAGGTCCTCCTCCTTCAGCTGCCTGCTGTCCACCCATTAACAGAACAAGGGAAATGCCTCTAAGACACTGTCTGCCCCTCTCCTCCCGGGGACTGAAGAGTAGACAGCCTAATAGTCAATGTTAAAAATATAGACTGCTGACACCAGAGGGCATGCTGATGTCTGTGATCTGTGCTGTCGCCGGACAGCAGGAAGTCCATAATTCATGCTACTGCCGGCTGCTATGGGCAAGGAGACTTCTTTTACAGCGGTATTTCATAGGCCCTGTTTTCTTTGCAGTTCTTGAAATGTCTCGGGCTTGACCATTTTAATGTCTGATGGTAGTGTTTCCTTCTAACTTCAGAGGTATAACAAACCTACCCGTAAGGTAATGATGAGTGACCAGGCAATCTGTGGCCAGGTGTCAGGGCTCTGCCTGAGGATAAAGACTGTGCGGTGCTCTTAGGGTGGGTGGCTCTGTGAGACGGTGTTTGGTGACAAATGTGAACCTTTTCTGCAGGAAGCTCCTTATGGCTATGCCAGAGCAGCAAGGACCTGTGTATCATCAGTGCCCAGAATGTACAGTGCCGCCCCTCCACAGTGCAGCTGCCCCCTGATGCAGAGATGAGAACTTATGCTGCCTGCCAGGATGCACTATGGGCCTTGGACAGCCTTGGACAGGTGTTCATCAGGACACTTTCCAAGAGCTGCCCCACAGGCATGCATTGGACGAAACTGGACCTTTCCCAGCTAGGTATGGTACAGAGTGTGAGTGCTTCACTCAGAATGTAACTGACTAAAACACCTTGTCCCCACATCCACTGTGTGTGGAGAAGGCGAGTTCTTTGGTAATGTTTGTCAGCTGCTGAACTTAACTCAACTGGCCACTTCCCCAGACTAAATGAGCCTCTTAATTTTGTAGGGAGCTTCACCTCTCTCCCTGTGTGCGGTTTATACTGTTCAGAACCACAGGAGCTATGCAGAGGCAGAAGGTGCCACCAAGATCTGCTTAAAATGACAGCACTAGAACAGCTGCACGGTCCTCTCTCTGACCTTTAAATCTGAAGTGGCGACTGTGTCGTGTGACTGGATCAGTGTATGCTGAGCTGGGTCTTGGGCTCTGGAAGAGTGCACACCGCAGGTGCTGCACACAGAGTTGTGAGATCTGAGTTCTCCTGCAGCCACTGAAAGACAGACTGTGCTGTTAACCACGTGCTATGGACCGTCCCGAGAGTCAGAGTGACACAGCCTAAGGTGACATGGAAATATTTCATAGTCTAAGAAGTGATAAGTCGGGCAGTGGTGGCGCACGCCTTTAATCCCAGCACTTGGGAGGCAGAGGCAGGCGGATTTCTGAGTTCAAGGCCAGCCTGGTCTACAGAGTGAGTTCCAGGACAGCCAGGGCTACACAGAGAAACCCTGTCTTGAAAAACCAAAACCAAAAAAAAAAAAAAAAAAAAAAAAGAAGTGATAAAATGAGCTCAGAGTATTATGTCCTCAGTTGACTCAGCAGCAGTTCAAGTGTGGCTTGTCTGATAGTGCAGACAGAGACAAGAGCAGGAGCTCCAGGTCAGAGTAAACTTGAGCTTCCACAGTCCTGTCTGGGAGTGTCTGGTGTGCACTGGCATCTAGTATTTTGTGGACTTAACTAAGTGTTCAATGACCAAGCCCCCTCAGTCAGTCAACAGGTTCTCCAAGTGCAGGAGTGAGGATTAAAAGAAAAGAGACAATTAGACAAAATTGCAGCATGACCCCAGCCAGATCTGAGGCTGAGGCAGGTTTGTTTAATCCCACATTTCTTTTAAACCCTTTTAATACATGCAAGTATTTAGGTCAGTTCTAGGTTGAGGAACCAACAATGCAATAGATACAGTCAAGGAACACAGACAAGGCAATATACAAAGTTCCGTGATCACCCACCCACCCAGCCAGCCCCCCCAGATCACTTCCTTGGACACGCTTTTTTTTTTTTGGTTTTTTTGAGACAGGGTTTCTCTGTGTCTTCCCGGCTGTCCTGGAACTCACTCTGTAGACCAGGTTGGCCTCAAACTCAGAAATCCACCTGCCTCTGCCTCCCAAGTGCTGGGATTAAAGGCGTGCGCCACCACTGCCCGGCTACTCTTGCTGTTTCTAAGGGCTCATTGGGATGACAAAAATATCTGAGCCTACTTCCCTGTCCTAGCCCAAAGTCATATTCATGCCTGAGGCCTACTTCTTTGTTCTAGCCTAAGACTTGGATTCCTGACTGAAATTACTTATGTTTTAGCCTAAAATTAGATTCCTGCCAGAACTTACTTCCTTGTCATAGCCCAAAGTCAAATTCCTGCTTAAAGCCAGTTCTCCTTGTCCTTGGCCAATGTCAAATTCCTGCCAAGCAGCCCCAAGAGCTCTCTACAGTTCAGTGTATATAACTCAACCATGTGAGAGAAGGGGTGGGGAAGCGAGCAGGAGAGCTGCCTCCTACATTGACCACCACCCCTGTAAAGCATGCCTTGCCCTGGTGGGCCTAGGCAGGCCAGTGACTCTTGGCAATGGGGTTTCTGCAAGCTGCTAGACTAGATAAGGCCTGAGCCTAACCCAGTCTGCTGTGGAAACAAGCTGTGTGCCACAGCTCGAGACTCCAGAGGACCTGTGATTATGTCTGCCTTGGGCTTCACACCGTCTTTCAGATCTGCTGTTCATCCAGCTTCCCAAGGGCATGTGCCAGCCAGACAAGGCTGCAGCTGGCTGTGGCCTGGACATGGGGGCCAGTTGAGCCTGCTGCCTGGCCTAAGAGGTCCTTCTTCTGTCCAAAGACTCAGTGGCCCTGAACCTTTCTCCAGCAGTCTCCACTAGACCATGGAGGAAGGCTGCTGGTATCTCTGAGAAAAGCCAGAGCTGTCATTTTATTATTACTACCAAACCTTGAAAAACTAGAGAAGTCTATCTATGTTCATTCAGCTGGAAGTGAAGCCATTTTCCCCAAATTGGTCCCTCCATACAGTCATCCTATCCCAATGACCCCAGCAAATGTCTCTCATCCTGTTGTAGAAGATCCCTGGACCTTTGGTTATGGCACTAGTCTTTGGGCCAGTTGAGTATGCACTAGGACCACTTGACTCCCACCGCCATATTGTGTACTGAACCCCTGCCTCTCTTACATCTGTGTCCTGCCCTGTGCTCTCATGTGATCTGTGTCCTGCTCTGTGCTCTCATGTGTTGCTCTTTGTGACTGATGGTGAAATAGTAGACTCTTGGCACCAGCTTTCTCAGCATACTGAACAATGCCTAACGTCCAGCTAGTAGGCTTGGTGCTGGTGTAAGGGAAGTAGGCAGGGCTCAGTGGAAAGGAGATTGGCCTTGGCTGTGCCAGCGCCTCCACTTGTGCCATGCAGGGTACTGACCTGCAGCCAGGAACACTAAGCACTCTCTCCAGGCCTAGTCTGTATCCAGGGAGGAAAGCAGGGGGGTCAGGAGATAACTTTAGCTGGGCACAGTGGCTTGTGCCATTAATCCCAGCACACACCTCTCAAATCGGAGTCAGAGAGAGAGAGAGGGAAAGGGAGAGAAGAGAGACAGAGAGAAGAGAGAGATTGGGATTTTATTTATTTATTTATTTATTTTCTTTTTTTCTTTTGGTTTTTCGAGACAGGGTTTCTCTGTGTAGCCCTGGCTGTCCTGGAACTCACTCTATAGACCAGGCTGGCCTCGAACTCAGAAATCCACCTGCCTCTGCCTCCCAAGTGCTGGGATTAAAGGCGTGCGCCACCACTGCCCGGCTGGATTTTATTTCTTTGTAAAGATGATTATTTGTGTGTGTGTGGATGTTTTGCCTGCATGTATGTCTGTATACCACATGCATGCATGTATGTCTGTATCCACATGCATGCATGTATGTCTGTATCCACATGCATGCATGGGCTCAACAAGAGTTACAGATGGGGATGGGTATTGGGAATCGAACCTCTGGAAGAGCAGCCAGTGCTTTTAATCACTGAGCCACCCCTCCAAGCACAATATATATATATATTTAAATTGTTAATTAAGGCCAGCAAGATGGCTCAGAAGGTAAAGGTTCTTGACAGCAAACCCAGTGACCTGAATTTGATCCCTGGAACCCACATGGAGGAAGGAGAAAACCAAGTCCTGCTAATTTTCCTTTGACCTCTACACATGAACATGTACTGCCACACAAAAGTGATGTTTGACTTTGAGCTTAGCTGAGTATTGTCAGCCTACAACCCTCCATCGCATCCTTCCCCTCTTACCCTTAACAAGCAAATGCTGCTCTGATTGCCAGAATAGTGGCTGCACCTGTGATTCAGGAAGCTGCGGCCCTAGGGTCACCAGTTCAAGGCCAGCCTAGACTACACAGATGTCAAACAACTATAGCAGTCAGGAAAATAATTAAATTAAGACATTTATTAAATAGCTATTTGTTAAGCCCAGCTAAAGAGATAGAAGAATTTTACAGTGATCTATTATAATCCTTGCTTTTGGAGGAAAATGTGCATCATTTAGCAAATAGTTAAGATGCTCATAACATTTCAGTTCCCATTATTCATAAATATGCATGTCAGGCACTAGACCATTTAGCAAACTGATGCAATTTGTTTAATTCATCCAGTCACAGCATGTGATGAAGACATAGCATCGTCATTATATCATGCAATAATTTATGTGGAGAAGAATTCTATAATATAGGAAACAACAAGCAAATGCTATTATTATTGTTCTACGCCACACACTTAAAAGAGTCTACAGTAGGGTGTAGTGGTGCACCACTGTAATCCCAACTGAGGCAGCAAGGTTACACAAGGTTGAGGATAGGTTGGACTATTAATCACACACACAAACACACACACACACACACCTTTTTTAAAAAAGCAGTTTTAAGAGGAAAGTGTCTGTTGTGGGGAGTAAAAGTTTTTCTCCTTGATGAAGCAAATAAAATGGAAGCTGTCAGGCTCGGCTCCCCCTTAGTCCCAGCCCCAGGCACCAGCAGCTCGCCGTCCCCACGGTGCACTAGTGAGGCTGCGTTGCCCTAGGTGCTTCGATCTGGAGCTGCATATCTTACTGCTACCAGAGGAAAGAACCGAGGAGAAAGTCTACTAACTTAGACTTTAGTTCAGAGGTGGCATAGCACTTTCAATCACAAGAATCTTTCTTGGCTGCTAACCCTGAAGGAATGTGAGGAGCACAGCAAGCTCATGGGGGGAGAAGGTTCTGCCACCCCACCCTGTGGACATACATACAACATTTGAAATAAAACTTCAAAAAAGTAAGCCCCAGCTGGGCAGTGGTGGCGCACGCCTTTAATCCCAGCACTTGGGAGGCAGAGGCAGGTGGATTTCTGAGTTCGAGGCCAGCCTGGTCTACAGAGTGAGTTCCAGGACAGCCAGGGCTACACAGAGAAACCCTGTCTCGAAAAACCAAAAGAAAAAAAGAAAAGAAATAAATAAATAAAATAAAATAAAAGCAGGGACATCAGAAGTTCAGGGCCATCTTTGGCTACATAGCAGTTGAGACCAGCCTGAGATACAGGAGACATGAGACACCGTCTTCAATAAATAAATAAATATAAATGGACTGGAGAGCACTGACTGCTCTTCCAGAGGTCATGAGTTCAATTCCCAGCAACCACATGGTGGCTCACAACCATCTGTAATGGGATCCGATGCCCTCTTCTGGTGTGTCTGAAGACAGCTACAGTGTACGCACACAAATAAAATAAATAAACAAACAAACAACAACAGACACTGGGCTGTGGTGGCACACTCCTTTAATCCCACCACTCGGGAGGCAGAAGCAGATAGATCTCTGTGAGTTCCAGGCTAGTCTACAGGGTACGTTCCAGGACAGCCAGGGCTACATTGAGAAACCTTGTCTCAAAAAACAGACAAACAAAAACCTCTCTATGTTAACAAGGACATAAGCATGTATGCTAGTAGGCTTGTAAAATGGTACAACTTGGAGAAACTAGCATTCTCTTTAAAAGTGACACTGTCAATCCTGATAGCCTGATTCCATCCCTGGAACCATGTGGTGCAAGGAAAGAATGAACTCTTACAAGCTGTCCTCTGACTCACACACGTGTGAATGTAGGGGCCGGAGAGATGGTTCAGTGTCTGAGAGCATGCTGCTGTTCGTGGGGAGGGCCCAACTTCAGTTTCTAGCATCTTTGTCAGGTGTCTCATAAACACAAGTAACTCTAGCACCAGGAATCTGATGCCTCTAGCTTCTGCCAGCACTTATACTCACACAAGTTCTCTCTCCCCCCCTCTCAAATACAATGACAATAAGTAAATCTGGGGAAAAAAATTTAAGGTGAGACATATAAACTATGTCCTAACAATTCTACTATGTGCTTATTATTATTATTATTATTATTATTATTATTGGAAAAAGAATAGGGGCTGGAGATATGACTTAGTGTCCAAAAGCACTGGCTGCATTTCCAGAGGACCTGGGTTCAGCTTCCTACACCCACGCGGTGACTCACAACCATCTGTCACTCTAGTTACAAGGGATCCACTTCCTCTACCGTCTTCAGGCACTACACACACATGGCGTGCTTACATACACGCAGGCAAAACACTCATACACATAAAATAAAAATTAAAAAAATCTTTGAGCCGGGTGGTGGTGGCGCACGCCTTTAATCCCAGCACTTGGGAGGCAGAGGCAGGCGGATTTCTGAGTTCGAGGCCAGCCTGGTCTACAGAGTGAGTTCCAGGACAGCCAGGGCTACACAGAGAAACCCTGTCTCGAAAAACCAAAAAAAAAATAAATAATAATCCTACTCCTTCAGCCTTTCAAGAACTGGGACTTCAGATGTGTACTGTAAGGCCTGGCTCGCGACACACACACAAAATTTATGCAAACGATCCGAATGTCCGTAGGTGAACACAGAACCAGTCTGGGGTATTTGTGTGCACTGGAGTGATACTTAGTCACAAGGGGAGTGACCACCGCCTCCTGCTGCTTCATACTGTAGCACGTGGACTTTGATTCGGCCTGTGTGAACCCCTAGAAAGGACTGAACTAATCTCTGGTGGTAGATGTCAGTTAGGGCAGTCTGAGATGCACGAGACCCCGGCCTCAAGCAGAAGCCATGGCAGGCAGGGAGGGACCTGAGGAAATTCCTAGAGAGACAAGATGTTCTGTGTCTCGATAAGGTGTGGGTTGCTCTTGTAGACTAATTGTCAAATCTGGACTTGAACCTGAACATGTACCTGTACATTTGTTGTTTATAAAGACTTAGAGGTCAGAGGTAGCCGGCCTAGCTTCAAGCCTGCTATCCCTCCTTGCTTCCTGGGTTGGCCGCCATCCTGCCATTCTCTCCCGTGAACCATTTCACCGTTGCTGTAAGGTTTGCAGTGAAGCGGTGAGAGGCCTGGCTGGAGCCTGTCTTACAGTAGATGGTCAGTAACTTAGCTGTTGCAGTTTTTAGTTGCTCAACTATTATCAAAGGTAATCTCTTCACTTTCTTTCCTTGAGGTGCTTTCTCGGGTGCTCTGGGCTAGGCCACACCCTTCCGGCCCAGCTTCTTGTCTTTTTGACTTTCTCCGTTCCATTTCTTATGGCAGCAGCTAGCTTAAACAGCACAGAGAAAGTGCAAAAATAAAAGTGGAGATTTTTTTAGTCGTAATTCTATTTAAATATGAGCCCCCTTTCCATACCGAGAATTGACTAGCAGTGGTCACACGGTGGATGAAGTTAATGAGGGTGTACGGTGCTTGATGGCATCATAGCTACTTAGCTGGCAGCCTACACAGGATGCTCTGAGACGCCTGGTAGAGAAGCCAGTGCTCCACACCTGATGTGGAGGGACAGCCAGGTGACACACACCTGCGTCCAACTGCAGACGTAGCCTCCCGTCTTTCTTTGAAGTAGAGTTTATACACTAACTGAAAGATCTGTCATTTGTCAAACTAATTACAGTGTGTGTTTCCTGTCTCTGCAGGAACTGTGAGACTGACCAGCTTGGCATGTGGAAATCAGCATATCTGGGCCTGTGACTCCAGGGGTGGGGTTTACTTCCGTGTTGGGACCCAGCCTCTGAATCCCAGCCTGATGCTTCCAGCCTGGATCATGATTGAGCCACCGGTCCAAGTAAGCAAAGCCAGCCTGAAAGAACTTGCCTGGTAGTAAGAGGAAGCTCTTAGGACAACTCCCAGGGGTGCATGGAGGTGCGCCCTATGAGCGCTCAGTCACTTGACACTCAGAGCTTGGAATCTGGTATCTGGGAAGGGTTAGAGCTGAACAGGCGATGTGAGGTTATCTGACCAACACAAGCTTTTCCCTCTTAAAAACATTTTGACTTGTCACCAAATGAACATTATCTTTAAAAAAAATTTTTTTAAATACATTTATTTACTTAATATATATGAGTACACTGTAGCTTTCTTGAGATATACCAGAAGAGGGCATCAGATCCCATTACAGATGGTTGTGAGCCACCATGTGGTTGCTGGGAATTGAACTCAGGACCTTTGGAAGAGCAGCCAGTGCTCTTAAACATTAAATTTTGTAATCAAAATTACAAAGAAGAACCTAAAATTTGCATAAAGTGTTGCCATGGAGATATCTGCTATTAGTGGGTTTGATGTTTCCCATGGCAATACTGAAGATTGAACCTCAGGTCTCACAAATGCCAAGCAAACCCTGGACTCTACTGAGCTGAGGTCACTGCCCTGGTACTAGTGTTCTGCGAGTGCCTTTTCTAGACTAAAGAGTTTTGTTTCCTGGGTTACTGAAGTGTTTGTCTCTTTTGTGTGGAGATTCAGTTCCATCAGTGCCCTATCCTAAAACCTACTCCTGGCTTTCAGTTTATAAGGTCTTCTGACATGTTTTGGGGGTATTTGTTTTGTCTTTTTCATTTTGTTTTGGCTAACTGCTCTCTCTGGAAGACCTAAATAGGCGTGGTTCAGGTACTAAGTATATTTCTCTTAAGCCTTACGTGAGGAGAGAATGCAATGGTTTAGACCACTAGCTGCTCAATTCCCAGCATCCTCATGGTGACTCATTACCCATTCTTAACTCTAGTTTAATGGGATCCAGTGTCCTCTTCTGGCCTCCTTGGGCAGCAGGCACACACGCAGTTTATAGAAATACATATAAAAACACATAATTTAAAAAAACAAAACAACTTAGGCTGGGAGATGATGACCTACCATGCCTTTACTCTCAGCACTTGGGAGACCGACAGGTGGCAGATCTCTGTGAGTTCAAGGCCAGCCTGGTCTACAGAGCATGGCTGTCCTGTCTGGTGTTCCAGGACAGCCATGGCTACACAGAGAAACCCTGTCTGGAAAAACAACAACAAAAAACAAACAAACCTTATGTGAGAGGCCATGACACCTCCAGAGTAATTTCTCAGGTTCCTGCTTGTCTGCTTTGTTGGGAAGATGTGAGGCTGTCTTATATAGAGGGGACGGGGCAGCAGGCAGGAACGAGTCCACAGGAACTATGGTTGTCTACATTCTGCGTGTCCTGCAGCCACAAAGTTAAATGAATGAATTCTAACACATGCTCTGCATGTCCTCCGCATGCAGTAGCACACTGAACACAGGACGGGCTTGGCCCTGAGTTCGGGCTTCAGCCTCGCTGTGGGTGAAGTCCCCAACACCTGCATGCAGGTGCCCTCCTCCACAGCAGTGTCAACACAGTCCTTCTCATCTTTCTTTTACTGATGACTTTATATTATTTAAGGGTTATAATTCAGCCAGGCCTGATAGTACTGGTTTGTAACCCTCACTGCTTAGCTGCTTAGGAGACTGAGGCAGAAGGATCTCAAATTCAAGGATTGCCGTGGTACAGAGTGAGAAGTCATCCTCAGCTAGTATGTAGTGAGTTCAAGGCCAGCCTGGGATAAATGGGGCCCTGTATCAAGAAACCAAGAAGGAATGAAGAGATGCTTGGTGCTCTAGTACACACTTTACTCCAGTAAAGGAGGCAGAGGCAGGCCAGCCTCCAGTGACCGGGCTACCCTGGTCTACATAGCTAAAGGATGGCCAAGCCTACATAAACCTGTCTCAATAAAACATAAAGGAAAAAAAGGAGTGGCAGTCCGCATAAACTTACCCTTCTATAGTATACTGTATATGATGCTGCAAGTTGTTTTTAGTGTGTTCACAAAGTTGTGCTCACCACTGTACAGTCCTGGAACATTCTCCTCATCCCAAGAGCAGAGGCTACCAGTTAGACTCCTGTGCACTCAGAAACCTCAAACCCAAAAGCCCGTCGCTGCCACGGATCCCTTCTTATTCCCTAGTCTACACAGTGCATATACTAAGTGGAATCCTGCTGAGGACCTGCTCCTCATCAGATGTCTTCCTCTGGGTGCTGTGTGCTCAGAGGTCTTCCATGTCTTAGCACACCTAAGTTCTTCATTCGCTTTATGACGTAATAACTCCATCACTGGAGACCACTGCTCATGCCTCACTTGATGGGTATTTGGCTTGTTTCTGCTTCCTAGCTGCTGGGAAGGCTCCTACCAGTATTTGCATACAAATCTTAGGGAGACACTTCCTTCTTCTTTGAGGAACAGGAACTTCCTGTTTTCTGCAGTGAATCTTTTATTTTACATTCTGCAAGCAGACTATGAGGGTTTCAGTTTTACTACATACTGACACCTAAAAATGTTTCCTAAACTTTTCTATTTTTAGTACATGTCAAATGGGTTTTGTTTGCTTATGATGGGTCTCACTGGCTGGTCTGGCACTCTCTACGTAAACCAGACATGCCCTGAACTTGCACCACCAGGAGAACAGGCATGTGCCAACAACCTGCCTCTTCCCTCTTTTGGTTCCTGGGATATTTTGTCACAGCACCAAAACAAGTCCACTGAACACAACTTGTGCATTTTGATTCCTATGGTAGATCCTATGCCGTGGTGCTGTGTAACACTATGTTGTACACACTGTCGGGATTGCGTTGCTGGTATTATTGAGGATTTCACCTTCACATTCCTGAGGAATAGTGATCGTGGATGTCCTGTTCTCGTCATGAGTGTCTGTAGTTGGTGCAGGATAATGCTCATCTCTAAAGTGCATGTGGTCTAGGTAGTTGCAGGCATAGCTGACAGTAGAGCTTCTGCCAGGGGTGCAGCAGCCCTGCACTCCGTCCTGTCGCTGCCTTAAAGAAAGACAGTGTTGAAATACTTCTCTTCTGTTTTGAAAGGCTTATGGAGGATTGGTGTTACAGAGTTTTTAAGCATTTGTCAGAATTTATCAGGGTAATAATATTAGCCAAGGCTTGTTTTTTTGTGTGTTTTGTATTTGTTTGTTTGGAAGTTTGGGAACGAGTCAGACTGTGTATCCCTGACTGGCATAAGATGTAGACCAAACTGGCCTCAAACTCAAAGATCTACCTGCCTCTACCTTTGGAATTCAACTTGTCTCTTTAAGATTTGTTTGTTTATGTGTCTGTGTGGGTATGTACCATGTATGTGCCCAGAGGTCAGAAGGAGGTGTGAGAACTCCCAATGTTCCAGTTACAGATGGTGTTGAAGTCCAAACTCAGGTTCTGAGTATGTCTTTATGAGAGTTGTTGTTGTTGTTGTTATTGTTGTAGTTGTTCAATTTGTATTTTATTTATCTATTTTTCATTATTACTATTGTAAGCGGACATTTGAGTGCTAGGGTGAGCTCCGTGGACATGTGCAGATCAGAGAGGGCTTTCAGCTGTCGGCCACCATGGGCTCCAGCCGCAGAGTGCAGGTCATCAGGCTTGTGCAGAGCGCTGTTACCTGCTGAACCCTGTCCCCAGTCCCGCTGTTACAGGCCCAGTCTCTTTATATGTCCCGTGAAAGGACCTCAAAGCTGTGCTCTGAGTGAGGCAGTGCCTTCAAGTGGCTGCTAAACATGGACTCCTTCAGCGGTGCCGCCGAACAGAGGTCTGCTCACTTCATATACTGCGGCGCGTGAGAGAAGGAACTCACTTTGCCTGGGGGTGTAGAGATCCAGGTGCTGTCACACTGGATCCTGGGGGAAGAGAAAAGAAGCTCTGTGTATGTGTGGGCCTTCATGAAGCACTTTTCCAGGAAGTACCCTTTCCTTCATCCTATTTTTTGCTCCCAAGAAGTAGAAGCCAGAGGACATTCTCCCTACTTCACCAGCAAGTGGCTTTGCTGCTTTGCTTAGAACAGTTTAAGGGGCCTGTTCAGCACACAACCCTACTATGAGGCAGAGCCTTACTGAGACCCACAACTGCTTCTCCTAGCCACCCTGCTAAGGCTCGTAGTGGAGTCCTTAACAGTGTAGGACTGAGTGTCATTTCTTGTTTGCTTGCTTCCTTCCTTCCTTCCTTCCTTCCTTCCTTCCTTCCTTCCTTCCTTCTTCCCTTTCTTCCTTCCTTTCTTATGTTCATTTCTTCCTTTCTTTCTTCATTGTTTTGTGCCTGCATGTATGTCTGTGTGAGAGTGTCAGATCTTGGAGTTACAGACATTGTGAGCTGCTATGTGGGTGCTGAGAATTGAACCCTCGTCCTCTAGAAGAGAAGTCAATGTCTTACCTGCTGAGCCATGTCTCCAGCCCCTGAATGTCATTTCTAAGGTTAGGGGTGACACTGAGCTATCACAGATGATCCTCCTGTAAAACTTGCTCCTTGGCAGTGCTGCTTTTCCTTGTCTGGCAGTTCTGACCCTGAGTAAAGCTTTGCCTTTTGACCCCAGCAAGCTCTGGTGACCTGCCACATAGGTGGCAAAGCTAAATACAGACATGGGTGTGTGATAACCTGATCTGGCTCCCTCCTCTGGCGCTAGGGTCCTAGGCCTATGTGGGGACACTGACTCCAGCAGCCATGAGGGAGCTCACGTCCATCCTGAGCTCACTGATATCACTCACAGGTTAATGATGAGACCAACAGGGACTTTTCTACAAATGAAAAAGTAAGTTCAGGAATGAGGAGTGGTGAGGAGTCCATTAAAAGATCCAACAGTCAGGAGGATTTTCTGAGTCTGAGGTTTAGGAAGTGTATGGTGGCTCCATAGCAGACTGTGAGTGACCTATGTGCCCTGGGTCCTCTGCACCTCTGCTCAGGCTTCCTGTCTCATTCGGGACACCCTCCAAGCTGTGCAGAGGTGGAGCACAGAGGGTACCATGGGCACATGA